GGCAAATTCACAAAATCTGCTCCTGACCATCCACCATCAAAAGGGACCCAGCAGACAACCATCAGCAGTTCCACAGAGACATTTCTATTTCGAACATGCAATTCTTACACCTCCTACTTAGCTGGGACATACCGATAGTGTCTTGCTGATAACCCAGAGGTCAGGAAACTTCAGCAACCAATGACAGTCTTCTCTCTTGTGCCTTCTCACTGGAGGGCAGCAGTCAAAATCTCCTTGCAGTAATCATCTTCATGGCTTAACTGTTTTGAATGATGTTTAGATGCCATGTATAAAGACCTAAACTTAATAAAATTGCTTGATAACTTTAGGAGTAAAGAAAAATGCATACTACATACATCAAAAAGACTGAATATGCTTGTGAGAAACAGATGCAATTTGTGGGGTCCATCACTTCGTATACTAAGTAGAAGAATAAATCTTTCTGATGTTATGCATAGCAGTTTGGTTCATGATCCTGTAGTCTTTAATGACTGGAAACCACGAAGATTTTTTCAAAACACTGAGCTTTTTGATTAAAAGTATTTCTGAAGTAGCAACAAAGGAACACAAATCTTAATGAAGTCACACATTACCCATCGTTCTGACAGTGCAGTTGTTCGACAGCACAAAGCCTGGACATGCAACAGTTCACAAAAGCAAGGGGTGATGTTCTGTACAGATAAACCGCGAGGGGGGGGGGTTAGAGACACTAAGAAATTACCTAATTTGGAGCTGAAATGGGATTTTAGGGTTATCGTATCTGCACTCGTAGAAAGGTTCAATATGTAATAACAAGTCTTAGTAACGTCTCACTGCTGTTCAAGCGCCTCTAAGCATGAGAACATCACCTTCCCAGGACAGTAACAAATGCTGGATCAAGAGGAAGATGCTACTTATTGATTCCCCAATACTACTAGCACCCACTTTACACCCTTGCTCCTTCTTCCATCTAGACCAATTAAGCCAAAGTTTGTTTAGTTTATAAAGCATGTCATAAAAAACATCCCACCTTAAGTACTCATATAATAGGAAGGTCACTGTTCATTTGGGTTTGAACACAGATGTATACCTGCATGAACAGCAAAAGTCATACATAACTTACTTCCTTACGTCCCTTAAGTATAGAGCAATCCTATGTTCTTACAGGACAAATGAGGAAGTGGAGCAGACAGACTGTTTGCTCACATAAAGTCTAATGCAAAGTAAACTGAACTTTCATCCAGACCACCAAAACCGTAATTCCCTGTGTTGCAGCAGAGTAGCCTGGCTCCTCATGAGAGCTGCAGGGGCTCACAAAGCAGTGGCTCTGGGAGGACACCAAGGCCTAGGTCTCCAGAAAGACCGAGTAAGCAGTCATATATTTATCTCAGAGGAAGAACTGTGGGGCTGCAGCCCCTTCAGGAGGCTGAAAATACACAAGGAACAACATTGCCACATTCACTGTGTGCTTACCACCAAAAAAGTGTGAAAGCTTACAATACCTTCTACAGTCAACTCATCCTTCAGGAAATATAAAGGTCACACTCTGAATGTTGTCCCCTAATCCAGTATCACCCCATGTCACCCCATGGGGAAGCAGCCATGACCCAAAAGACCCAAACCAGGTTTTCCCCTGCCAATATGCATCCTACCCTCATTTAGCAGGCATTGTTTGGTGATCTGAAACCTATCAGATGTAATACTCACCAAAAGCACCTCCAACGGAACTACCAGAAATGGAATCACCTCTTGTCACTGTGCTCTTGGCACAGGCAAAGCTGGCTAAGTGCATGCACTAACAACCAGGCTTTTCTGTGTGGAGCTTGACTGAGGTTTTACATCATTCATGCGTTATCATTCTTCTATTAGTATCGCAGATTCATAGAATGGTTTGGGTTGGAAAGGACCTTAAAATCATCTAGTTCCAACCTCCCTGCCATGAGCAGGGATGCCTCACACCAGACCATGTCACACAAGGCTCTGTCCTTGAAGTTCATCTTTCTGCTGATTTCATACAACCTGGAATATATCGAAGTATATTCATATTTGTGGTGTATAAATACAGTAAAATTTAAACCTAAAATGAAACACACAAAAGTCCTTCCACTGGCTTCAAACAACAATTTTCTTGCATGCCAGCACAGAATATTTGTCTCAAACTGATTTCCCATTGATGTCTACAACATTTTAGATCTTTGCTTTTGGAATAAAACTCAACCTTAATAAAATGCTGTACAAACAGCAACTAATCCTCACAATCCCCCTACAAGAGTAGATACATACTGTAAAGTCTTTTGTACATAAGACAACACCAAGAGGTTAAATGACACACCCAAGATAATCAGTAAATAAGTACAAGAGCTGGATGTTCTTCCAGGCCAACTTCCCTGCAAGGGATGGGGCAGCATCCAGAGGAGACCCTGCATGTCCAAGGAGAGCCCATTCTATGTGAACTGCTTGGCATTGCCTCAGAAAAATAGTTTGTAAATAATATTTCCCTGGAACATTTTGTTTCACTTTTTTTTTTCCTAAAATGGAAATAACTCACAATTTACAAAATAATTTTTAAAAAGTGGTCACTGTTACCTCATAGTACAAACTGAGTGACTATTGCTCATTTCCAAGTTTCACAGGAACTCAACTGCTTAGGAAGAACAAAATGAGCATCAGAACAAAGAACATGATGTTTTGTGTTGGATTTGAACCTTCTGAAGCCCTTTCACAAATCACATTGGCAACAAACTGATAGATTTATATTCCAAAGTTTGCCACCTCATGAACTTGAACAAGCTGATTTTGTGCCACTAAAATGACAGTTGCAGTTGGTATGGAGCCCACATGTGAGTTGTGTTACCACTACTGTTACTATTCCTAAACCAGCATAGGATTCTTTCTGCATTGTTTGCCGAAGAGTATACAAAATAAGCTTCCCGTTTACAAGGATTTCAATGAGGGATTTTCCAGCATTTGAGGAAGTATGTTATTTTTTTTTACTGGAAGAGGAGACTTAATTTGAATCAAAGTAATGCTCATCACACAGAATCTTGCCTTCTAATTTGGAAATGTTAGATTCGGTTTCAACTTCTGCTGATTAAGGAAATGCTTGAACTCGCTTGAGCCTGAGCTGCCTCATGAGGTCAAGACAATCCAGTCATCGTGGTCTGATGCAGTTGTGCAGCTCTGGTCATGATACAGCCCCGTTCTAGACCACCGATCTTCCCATTTCTTCCTCCCTGGATTTACACCCCAGGCCTCTCTCACTCGGCATTCCTGCTCTAGATCACGGTCTGGGGGGAGGGCAGCGGGACGGCTGCTCCACGTAGCTGCCCGAGCTGACGGCTGGCAGGGATAAGAGAGCCTGGGGACAGCGGCTCCCCTCCGCGCTCCCCCCTGAGGCACCCGCCGCCGTGTCCCGCCCCGCGCCCTGGCCGGACAGGTGCGGCGGAGGAGCGGACCCGGGCAATTTACGGCCGGGGAAACTGGCTTGCCCTGCGGGCGCCGCGCCGGGGTCTCGGGGAAGAAAGGTGCCCAGCGCGGGAATGCGATGGGAACGGCTGTAGTGAGCCCCGAACCTCTCTACCAGCGGGTGCCAGTACGTGCCGGCGGAGCGCGGGTGAGGGCAGCCCGGCGGGATGGCGGCCCCCAGGCGAGCCTGGCCCCGAACAGGTAGATGCCGGAGACAGAAGCCTCGGTTGCCAGGCCGCTGCTGGCGAGGGAGGGAGCACCTTAGACCGAGTCAGCCATGCACAGCAAAGTTTCCGTCATCCCCTTGCACATACCTCTCCAGGGTGTTGTTATATACCGCGGTTATCGAGAAAGGCAGAGTCACGAGTACAAACTCACCTGATTTTTGAAACACTTTGCTCGGGGCAAGATGTGAGAGAAAGAGCTCGCACATGCCAGCTCATTCCTTCCTCCCGAGTAGCTCTCGCTGGGAAGGGGACCCTGACGCCCCAGGGCACGGGTCTCCTGGGCATTTCCCTCGGCTCCGCTGAATTTGCATTGTGACAGTAGAGAAACAGCCCATCTGGTGCGGACTTCCAGCACCCCTGCGAAGCCGGAGCTCTGCGTTGCTGAGGCGCCAAGGAGCAAAGATGTTAAAGACTGTAAGTTAAAAAAAAAACAAACCACAAAACCAAAAACAAACAAACAAACAAAAAACCGCACCACACACAAAAAAGTGGCAGAATAAGATTTTGCTTTTGACCAGCCGGGGAAGCCTATTAGAGACCTTGATCCTGCACCGGTTTAGCTTCATAACCGGGGAAGTAAGTGCACTCACATATATAGAAAGGTTCAAGGAATGGGGCTAAATTGGAGGGCAGGAAGGTCTCTCCCGGTCCTGATCCCCACACATCAGTGAGTCTGTGTTTGCCTCAAAGCCATACTGCTTTCTTTGTTCAGAGGTACAGCAGTGTGCCCTAACCTCCATCTCCCAAACCCATTTGAGGTCTGATTTATTTGACTCGATCAAGTAAATCAAATACAGTTTATTAGATAAAAAGGGCACCCAAGCTGAGTCATAAATATTAATGATATCTGATTTGTCACCTCCTTACTTATGTAAAGAAGGCTGGCATTCATTACAGTCACTCATTGTAATTCATGTTGTCCAAATATGGGTTTAACTTTGGAACTTTAGGATTTGATGGATTTGCATGGATTTTTAAATTGATCGACTCTAGTTCCTAACCCGCTGTTTCCATCCACCTGAAGTCAAGACGCCTAGAATGAGAGATTATTCTACAGACCATGTAAACATAACTATATATCGGCAGCCAAAACCTCTGTCCGCAGTGAAACAGACTGAGGGGTTTATCAGATTTTGCAAGTTATGCCACGACTCAGAATCCACACCTAAAATCTGTCGCTGTAATCAACAAAATTCCAAAAGGGTTGTTGAAGACAATTTTCAGTAATTTTCTTGTTTTTACCCTGGCAGGGTAAAAAAAGTCCACTCTAAAATGTTCAAGAAGTGCTCAGGACGTGGGGGTGGGGGTAAGTGTCAATGAAGAATCGCCCAGCCACGCCAAGGTCCACCCACTTCCCTCGCGCCTCTCTATAAAAGGGAGCGGTGGAGCGCAGCTCTGCAGTGGTTACTTCAGACACACAAAGAGGGAGTGCTCGCTCCTCAGGAAACCCTGCAAGTTCGGATCGCTACTACAAAAACATTTGTCTCAGTGGATTATCCTCACTGGCAGGTAAGAGCTTTTGAGCTTTTTTTGTTTTTTTTTCTTCTTCCCTTCCTCAATAATTCCAGCCAAAAAAAAAAGAAAAACAAACAAACAAAAGATGCAGGGAAGCTGGAAAGGAAGTAAAAAGTCTGCTAAATCTGGACTGATCTGAAGAGCTTGGAGTTATGCAGCAGAGTCTTGCACTGGCAGTTTACAACATAAGATCTAGAGCTAGCTGGTTTTGCGTGTGAAGTGGGAAGATGAGCTATCAGGGGATCAGCTTCCAGGCAGCAAAACACTTGCTGGAGTTTGGAAACGATGTATCTCAGAGTCAACTCCCTCTAATCTCATGGGTTTGCTAAATCCTAGTGCAAGCCGCTGGGGGTATTCTGGAAATCCTTCTGGGTTTCAGCCTTCTCTGCAAGTAAAACTCTCGACAAACGTAAACTCTGGAGGCTCTGCTATTCACTTTGTGATAAGTTGAGTAAATATTAGCTCCTTGTTCATACCGCACACAAAGTCCCCGGTAGCCTGGGGGCTCTCCGAGAAAAGGAGCTCTCTGGCATCACCGGAAATGAAGGACGGTCCTTACTTGACATATATTTGCAATCGTGCTTACAGTCTTCTCTTCTTGCCTCCGCCAGGATCCCAGCCAGAATGAAACTGGTGCACGTAGCCCTGCTCTATCTCGGCTCTGTCACCTTCCTCGGGATGGATGCTGCAAGGGTGAATGTAGCGACGGAGTTCAAAAGAAAGTGAGTATCGGAGCGCGCCCTCCTGCCAGCGCCCAGTCCCGCTCCGGAGCCTCCGCGCCGGACTCCGTCCGCGATCGGAGGGACTGAATTCCCTGCGGGAATTGCACAGCGCCTTAAAGGCCTCATTCCCTTTCAGGAAACAAAATTAGAAAAATCTCGGCGCTGGCAAATATAATCGCCCCTCGAATCTATTTGGTTTGGCTCCCGCCCTGCAGGCTTGCGCTAACAGGCTGTCCTCTTCCCTTGCGCTCCTTTCAGATGGACAAAATGGGCACTGAGCCGAGCCAAGCGGGACGTGAAGCCCACAGGCGCACTCCGAGGGCTGGGGGCAGCCGCCGACGTGCAGCCGCTCATACGGACCCAGGACGTGAAGGAGGAACCTCGAATCTCGCATCCCAGGTACATTCCAGCCTCTTTTGGTCTTGGGCACTTGATCGAGACAGTGGGAAGCTTCAGAGTCCCCTCGTTTCCGGGTGTTTAGGCTTAATCTCGCTGTAGATCCCCTCCAGGTCCCATAGGCAGGCTCTGCCCGGACTGCACAGCACACAGAAAGCACCCTCCCGCTTCCCTTTCCCCGCGCTTTTCAGCTGGCGGGAGATAGCAGAACCTTTACTGTGAAAGTCAAATATAAATAGTAACTTGAGCTCTGGATCCATAGATAAAAGTAACCGCCGTAAAACGGCGGGGCCTCTTCTCCCATCGGCAGCAGGCTGAGGCTCTGCCCTGGGACCAGGTCGTTCCTCTCCCGCCACCGTACGAAGGGCAAAGCCGGGGGGTGGCAGTTCTGCACCGTCGGGGCGGGTCCACCTCCAGGCCGGGGGCTCCCTGCCCTCCCTACTGGTCCCACGGGCTCCTCTCCACCGAAGCCCCACTGCGCGTTTCTCATGCCCGCTCTCCCTCTTCCTGCCCCGCAGCACTCGGGAGGATGCTCACATCCGCGTCAAGCGCTACCGCCAGAGCATTAACAGCTTCCCCCACTTCCAAGCCATCCGCACGGGGTGTCGGTTCGGGACGTGCACGGTGCAGAAGCTGGCCCACCAGATCTACCAGCTGACCGATAAAGACAAGGACGACACCGCCCCCGCCAGCAAGATCAGTCCCCAGGGCTACGGCCGCAGGAGGCGCTCCCTGCCCGAACGCCTCGGCCCTGTGCGCTCCCCCCGGTCCGAGCGGCGCCTCCGGACGCCACGGGCGCAGCCCCTCGCCGCCGTCTTCGGGGTTTGAACTCCGTGCTACCGGCCGAGGACGTCTCGGATGGGTGGACTTAAGTGTGGACGCTCCGGAGGTCCGCTGCTGCTCGGCGGCAGCCGCCAGTATTCGCGGAGAGCGACTGTCCAGGCGGAACGCCGGCGCGCCCTCCCAGGGCCGGGGACGGCGGAGCGGCGGGCCGCGCTGCCAGGGCCCGGCAGGGTGAGGAGCAGCCGGTTCTGCGGCCCGCGCCCCGCGCTGGGGGTTGGAGTGGGGAAGCTGTGAAAGCCGCGTCCCTCTAGGAACGCGCAGAGGCTGCTTCCCCGGTCCGCCGCAGCGGCGGGCCGGTCACTGACTCTTTACCCTCCGCGCGAGGCACCGCCGGTTCCGGCGCCCGCCGCCGCCTGGGACTGGAAGGCGCCAGAGGCCCCTCTACCCTGCCGGCCGCCATGTCGCCCCCTGCCCCGCCGCTGCACTCGGGGGGGGGGGGGGGGGGGGGGCGCCGGACCTTCCTTGCCGGCGGGCCGCCCTCAGAACTGCCCCGGCCCCGTCTGCCCCGAAGAGGGGCTGCTCAGGGGAGACCCACCGCCGGGGAAACCCGCCGCCGGGTGCCGGCCGCTGCGCTACACCCCCGGACCCTGGGACCGCGGCCCCCGCCTCGCCCGCTGCCCATGGCTGTTTGGGGGTGCGCGTTCGGCCCTCGGCAAGGACATGTCGCCAACATCTGCTCTACCCTCTGCGATATCTGCACCCGGCAGGGAATCGGACACTCACTAGTCCCTGCGGGGACTGCAATATACTTGAACCTTCCAGAGAGGAAAAGTGCAATTGTACGTGGTTTTTGTTAATTTTAAGTGCGGTGTGTGTGGATCATGAGATACGTATCAATATTTAAGATTGTCCTCTGTCATGTCCTGTTTGTATCTTTTTTTTTGAAAATATATTTTATTTTTATACGTTTTATATATATATTGCATAAGGGCATTTTTAAACTTTGTATCCCCTCTATTTTTCATATCATGAATGTCAAATGTTACCTTTTTTTTTTCCATACCCTTTTTTATCTTGCATTCCAGACTCGTGAAAGATGTAGAGAATGTATCAGCTGTTCTCCACGGGTAATATGTGAAATAAACACTACATAAACCAGTTCTCTTATGTTGTCTTTAGTGGGGGCAGGTGGTCAAGATGAACGATGTTACACTGTGTTCAGCCCTACCCTTGCTAAGCTAGCCTGGCCCTTCTGTGCCAGACCGAAACCCTTCAGTTACAGGCTTTGTTAGCAGCCACCCTATCTAGCTGGATCAAGTAAACCCAAAAGCAAGAATGCATCTTAAAATCCCAGGTCAGATCAGTTGAAAAGGCTCCGAGGCCTTTCCTATCCACATGTTCCAGCCAGGGCTGAAACGTGTCACAGCTTGGATTGATCGTGCAAGTTTATTTTTTGCCCTAATTAATCAGGGAAACAACTGCACACTTCAACATTGCACAACAAAATAACAGATTTATTGAGGGAGAGTGTTCCAAAAATGGTCACGGCAGCTTCCAAGGTTATTTATATTGAAGGATTTCCTGGGCCACAGTTCAGGTTAAAGTTAAATGGTGACCAGTTCAGGGTGGGCAGAACATCTTCAATAAAAGCTTAGCATTAGGGGGTTTGTTGTTTTGTTCCTTTTTTTTTTTTTTTTTAAACAAATTCCAGCCACAGATCAGAAAACAAAGTGAACCTGAACCTTATTAATGCACCAATAGCACCATCTATTGGTGTCTACCCTCTGCATGCCAAGAAAATCTAAAAACTAAACAAGTGTATTTTAATAACATCTTGGGTAGCAAAACATGCAAATTCCCCTATTTTATAGTATCTCTGAACATAGTTAACATGTAGAATTCTGGGAACAGCAGCACTAAATGCTGCTAGAATAAATGAAGCGGGCTATTTTTTAACCTAGTACTAAATGCTGACGGAGCATATATTTACAAGAAAATTTCAAAAGAACTGGCAATGACACCTTTCCAGGAATACTGCTGCAAAAAAAAAAAAAAAAACTTGGGGAGGAATCTAGTTGACTCGATGCCTGGCATGTATTCATAATGATTTCTCTCCCCAAAGTTTTGAAGTTCTCAGAATTACCTATTTTTAATTACTTCCTAAGCGTTTTCCACTAAATTTTGGAATAGAGAGATGGGTTTTCAACTTGAAACGTTCTCTTTTTCATATAAAACCCAAATTCATATATATATTGACATTTCCCAGTTTCAATTATTATCTGTTTGTTAACAGCTGGAAGAGAATTTACCTCTCTACTGCCAGTGGCTTTTCTGGTCCAGACTGCAAATTGTAAGGGGTGACAGCAAATGCATGATCTTTAGCACAGGTTATATCTACCAGCTGAAAAACAAGCAAGAGCCTATTCTCAAATCACAAAAGATCTTGAAATTAGAATAATTGTAGCTCATAAATTTTGGAGTGCTTGCAGTGGGAAATTACATTGCGCAGGTGAAATCAGATCCTACTTAAAGAGCACAACTGAAACGGCTTCAACAGAACCACTCAACTTAATAGCTACAATGTTTTACTTACGGGTTACACAGCTAGCATCTTTGTCATCTAAACTTGGGATGTAAGGCTGGATTGGGCTAGAGTGTGGTTAGTATGTACTTGCCAACTAGCTACTTTTGTTTGTATTGATCTTTTCTTCATTTACTGCCAAAAGCCAGTCCCCACTAAAATACCTTTTCTTCCCTCCTTTCCCTTTCACCGACAGAAAACACTTCACTCAGAGCTGAAAGATCCTTGGACTAGCTGGACAGGGCTAAAACTAGCAAGCTGGTGCTGACTGGCATAATTCTGACCTTACTGGAGCTTAGTAAATAGAATTTCCGTTTGGAAGGATCAAGAGCACCACCTGCCGCGCTTGTAGGGAGAAGCAAAACTCTGTAGGTAAAAAAAAACCAAACCAGCAAACAAACCAGTTTGCTTGTTTAATTCCCTTCACTCCCACCCCTACCACTCCTCATCCTCCAGTCTTTGAAACTATGTCTTTTAAAGTGTAAAGACCTGAATTAGACATGCTAGAAAGTAGTGAGTAGCCTTACGAGTGGAAGGCAGCATGTTCTTTGATTGCATCAGCTGAAAAGTAAACCCTGGGAATACTATGACCGTGTATTTTAGCCAACCTAGTTTGGCTAGGCTAGGTAGGCTGGAGAATGACAGAGCAGACAGGGACTCTTTCCAATTACAGAGCTAACCCCATATCCCAAATTGAGTTCCAGGTTTGGGGGATCTGGGCTGTAAGGGCTAAAATATATAGAGTCAGCATTCTTCCTCCTCATCCTTTTCTGCACCTGCCCCAGGTAGGAGCCAAGGTGACTCGCGCCAGGTAGCAGCCAAGGTGACTCACCTGAGGTGAGTCAAGGTCAAAGCTCTTCCTTCTGCCCAAGCAGGTGACATTACTGAAGAATTTTGGCTAAGCATCTTTTCACGGTGAACATCCCACAAAGCAAAATGTTGGGCACTAGCCTTTAAATGGTTGAAATCCATCCATGAACTAGATTAAAATCTCTGAGGAGTTTGAGGATTTTGAAACCCATGAGGCTTCAGGGAGAACAAGACTGTGAAACAGTATCAGCCCATAAGCAAGAATCCTCTCAAAGTCCTAGAAGCTCAAGAATAGCTGTGTGCTTATGTCAAGTCCAGCTTATGCCCTAATGTGACAGATGAGAAGTGGAAAATGTCATCAAATGCCTTCAAAATCAGGAGCATTTGTTTACACACTGCTTTAATTAAAATACTAGTTTATAAGAACAGTCTGGTGTCCCACAGGCCAGCATTTCAAAGACTGCTTAAAACATGACTGTAAGTTCAGTTCAAACAAAGTTCTAAATTCAAGTTTTGCAACGGTAAACATGTATTGGAGGAGGGATTCATCCTTATTCACCAGTCTGTTCAAGAGTGGATGCCAAAGGAGTGGTCACCAACCTCAGCAGAGCCTCCTTAGCGAAGTGTCAGAAGAGTTCTTGAAATATTCTTTATGAGTTATTATTTTGTTTTATTCCTAGACTAGAGACACCCTATGGCAAAGAAAAACTACTTCACTATAGACAATTTTTTTATTATCAAAATATATTCCAAAGGCTATTTTTATCTCAGAAACTTTTACGGCTCCATTATTAATGCTATACAGAATGGTGGCAAGGGGCCTAAAATGCTGATATACAAGTGCTTTCTCATAAAGACCTAGTGCAGGTCCCCCAATCTGAAGGAGTGAAAAAAGTAATCATTTTTCTTTCTCCAGTTGTGTCCTGGGTTCAGGACAATGCCTCTCCTGCTCTGAAAGACTGTTACAAGAGATGGAGCCCAAAATGGATCGGATGAACTCAGCAGCTTTATAGGGATTGGTCCATGCACTAAGGAATGATCTCTCTCTCTCTTTGAATGTGTGTGTGATTGTGTGTATACATATATTATATATATGAGACAAGAGTGATGGTATATTGAAAAATGTGAGATCTGAGCATGACGTGAATGATATGGAATAAGGGGTGGATACTGTCCAGGGTTCAGCAGTAGCAGGTGTTTTTCTCCTTCTTAGTAGCTGGTGCAGTGCTGTGTTTTTGACTTTCAGCCTGGGAACAGCACTGATAACACCAATGTTTTTAGTTGCTGCTCAGTAATGGTTACTCTGACCAAGGACTTCCTGAATCTCATGCTCTGCCACAGAGGAGGGGAAGCAAGGAGGGAGCAGAGACAGGACACCTGACCCAAACTAGCCAACAGCCAACTAACACAGCATGTTAGAATTAAATTTGTTAGAATTAAACTTGGCTAGGGATATCAAGGATAACAGGAAGGGATTCTACAGGCACATAGCAAACAAAAAACAGACTAGGGAGAACGTAGGCCCCCTCAGGAAGCTCTCGGGAGAACTGGCTACCCTGCATTTGGAGAAGGCTGAGATACTCAGTGACTTCTTTGCCTCGGTCTTCACTGGCAAAGGCTCTGACCATACCACCCAAGTCTTGGAAGGCAGACACAGGGACTGTGAGAATGAAGACCTTGGGCCCACTGTAGGAGAGGATCTGGTTCGAGACCATCTTAAAAATCTGAATGTGCACAAGTCCATGGAACCTGATGAAATCCATCCGTGGGTCCTGAAGAGCTGGCGAATGAAGTTGCTAAGACACTGTCCATATCTGAAAAATCATGGCAGTCAGGTGAAGTTCCCGACGACTGGAAAAAGGGAAATATAACCCCCATTTTCAAGAAGGGGAAAATGGATGACCCGGGGAATTACAGACCAGTCAGTCTCACCTCTGTGCCTGGCAAAATCTTGGAGCAGATTCTCCTGGAAGGCATGCTAAGGCACATGAAAATCAACAAGGTGCTTGGTGACAGCCAGCATGGCTTCACTAAGGGGAAATCCTGCCTGACCAATTTGGTGGCCTTCTATGATGTGGCTATGGAACTGATGGACAGGGGTAGAGCAGTTGATGTCATCTACCTGGACTTGTGCAAAGCATTCGACACTGTCCCACACGATATCCTTGTCTCTAAATTGGAGAGACATCAGTTTGATGGATGGACCACTTGGTGGATAAAGAACTGGCTGGATGGCCGCACACAAAGAGTTGTGGTCAGTGGCTCAATGTCCGGCTGGAGACCAGTAACGAGTGGCGTCCCTCAGAGATTGGTGTTGGGACCGGTCTTGTTCAACATCTTGGTCGCTGACATGGACAGTGGGATTGAGTGCGCCCTCAGCAAGTTTGCTGATGACACCAAGCTGTATGGTTCGGTTGATACGCTGGAGGGAAGGAATGCCATCCAGAGGTACCTTGACACGCTTGTGAGGTGGGCTGATGCCAACCTCATGAAGTTTAACCATGACAAGTGCAAGGTCCTGCACCTGGGTTGGAGCAATCACAGGCACAGCTACAGGTTGGGCAAAGAAGAGATTCAGAGCAGCCCTGCAGAGAAGGACTTGGGGGTGTTGGTTGGTGAGAAAATGAACATGAGCCTGCTTCAGTGTGCGCTTGCAGGCTAGAAAGCCAACCGTATCCTGGGCTGCACCAAAAGGAGTGTGACCAGCAGGTCGAAGGAGGTGATCCTGCCCCTCTACTCTGCTCTTGTGAGACCTCACCTGGAGTATTGTGTGCAGTTCTGGTGTCCTCAACATAAAAAGGACATGGAACTGTTGGAACAAGTCCAGAGAAGGGCCACGAGGCTGATCAGAGGACTGGAGCACCTCCTGTATGAAGACAGGCTGAGAAAGTTGGTGCTGTTCAGCCTGGAGAAGAGAAGGCTGCGTGGAGACCTCCTAGCAGCCTTCCAGTATCTGAAGGGGGCCTCTAAGGATGCTGGGGAGGGACTCTTCATTAGGGACTGTAGTGATAGGACAAGGGGTAACAGGTTAAAACTTAAACAGGGGAAGTTTAGATTGGATATAAGGAGGAAATTCTTTCCTGTGAGGGTGGTGAGGCACTGGAATGGGTTGCCCAGGGAGGTTGTGAATGCTCCGTCCCTGGCAGTGTTAAAGACCAGGCTGGACGAGGCCTTGGGTGAGATGGTTTAGTGTGAGGTGTCCCTGCCCATGGCAGGGGGGTTGGAACTTGATGATCTTAAGGTCCTTTCCAACCCTGACTATTCTATGATTCTATGTCATGCACACTATATAAACTGGGGGCAGTTATTCGGAA